ATTTTAAAAGGACTGAAGAGGGCTGAGGTCGTGGCTCACTGGTAGAACACTAACCTAGCATGCATGAGGCACTGGGTTCGATCCTCAGTACAATAACAACAACAACAATAAATAAATAAATAAATAAATAAATGTATTGTGTCCATAAAAAATTAAAAATAAAAAGGACTGAAGTATGGATAGGTACTAAAGGTACTACAGATGGATGAATCTCAAAACATCATGTTCAATGAAGAAAACCAGTCACAAATTGCTATATATTGTATGATTCAATCTATGTAAAGTACTGAGAATTAACAAATCTATAGAGACAGAAAGTTGAGGAGTAGATGACTAGGGTTACATGGGGAAAAAGAAAAATAACTGATGATGGATACGAAGTTCCTTTCAGGTGGGTACGAAGTTCCTTTCAGGCATGATGAAAGTGATTTAAACTTGGATTAGGGTAATGGTTGTATAACTCAATAAATACACTGAGACTTACTGAATGGTAAATTCTTAATAGGTGAATTTTATAGCATGTAAATTATATTGCAATAAAACTGCTAATAAATAACATATGCATATACAGAGAAAATGATTAAGTATAGCGCAATGTTAATTGAGGAATGTGGATGATAGGCATGTGGGATGTGTAAGTTCTGCAACTTTTCTTTAAGTTAAATTTATTTCAAAATAAAAAGAAAAATAAGCTTCATGGTATCCTCTCACTTTTTAAACTAAATATATGTATCACAGTAATAAAATTTAAACTTTGAAACCTGTGGGTTTAAATTGAGACAAGAAATTGTATAGTCTAACAAGGGCGGTTCCAGAACACTTGGGGAATCATTTGATAATAAAATAGTGACCAGATGTTCTCTACTTATTCTGTGCCTTTCAATTAATAAGCAGGGCCTTGGCATAGATGTCTTTAAGAAAGGATGAACCTGACCTATCTACACAAACTTTTTTTTTAAGTCTGGATGCAGAGATTGGAGATACAGAAATTAGAGATGTGAGACAATGCCCATTGTCTTGAGTAAAGATAGAGGGTTCCACATGGGAAAGGATGTGAGCAGCCTTCTAGGAACTAAGAGTGACTCCCCAGATGAAAATTAGCAAGATAACTAATTTCATAGTCTCAAGGAACTAGATTCTACTAATATCCTGAATGAACTTGAAAGTGGACTCTTTTTCAGAGGCTCACCTAAGAAGGCAGTCTAGCTGATACTGCCCCTTGGATTTAGCACTGTGACACTCTGAGCAAAGAGCCAAACCACAGAATTCTGCATGGGCTTCTGGTCTACAGAATTGTGAGCTAATAAATGGGATTTTTTTAATCCACAAAGTCTGTGCTGCTTTGATATAAATAAATAGAAAAGTAACAACAGAGTGTCAATTTCCTCACATATAAAATAAAAATAACTGGCTCTTTAAGACATGGGCCATGCTGCTTTGATCTTACTGGTAGTCTCTTGAGCAGAGATATCTTGGCTGAATGGGCCACCTATGGGTGTAAGCTTGTCTATGAGAAAGATGGTTTACTGTAACCCAATCTGACCTTTGAATGTTATTCTGGATTATTACGCTAGCTGGTAGTTGAAGTTAGTCTGTCAGGGGTAAAGTATATGCAAGAGATTCTATATTCATAGACATTTATGCAGTTGCATGATAAAGGGTCTGAAAGTCAGAAACTAATTTGAAGGTGTCAAAAGGAACTGCATCTGGTGTGCAAGGATAGCAGGACACCAGAAGAAAGGGATTAAAAAAAGACTCAATCTTTTAAACCCAGTGCTGGCGCTCCCAGTCCTCTTTCTCAGCCTAGCACCAAGCAGACACACATCATCTCACTGTGGGTCAAGAACACCAGCCCTAAATTGGGGGGGAAAAATCCCAGAAAAGCTGCCTGGACTGTAGAAAAATGGCCAAAGAGAACCTGGTCCTTACCCTACCTTATAGCTCCTTTTGCCCCTGGTGGGGTGGAGGCTGCTGGCCACCAAGGATGTGACAGTAGGTTCTAGCACTGTCACTTTATGACCGGGGAACAGGAAGAGTCTCCCCTTTTATGATCTGACAGGATACCCCATTTGGCCAGGGGATATTCATCAGTGGGGCAAAGCAATTCTTGCTATAACTGCATCCCATCAAACTACATGCCTGGGAAGAATGGCAGAATAAATAACTGCAATCAGAAAAGAAAAAAGAAACAAAAGCCAATCCATGTTTTATTGACAGTGTCTGCAAAGGGATCTTCAAGGAAGCCTAAAGTAAAGGATGGAAAGGGCCTCTTCCATTGCATACCAATATGCCTAGTATAAGAAAAGGCCCCAAAGGAGCCCTAGGATACAACTGACAGTGTAGAATTCAAAATTGATAGCATTGTGATAATGATGAGGGAGACAGGTCAGACTCAAAAATATCCTTAAATGCAACCCAGGAGAAAAAAAAGATTAAGGCATAGTTTTTGTAAATGGCAGATTGTTCAACCCTCCCTGGGATAAAATTTGTTGTGTAGATTCGATGCACAGATAGCATTCATAAGGATTGTTTCAGATTATGAATTTAAGAAAGGCTCCAAAACTAGAAAAGATAAAAGAAAGTTTTAAGTATGGAAATATATTTTAGTACAGAAAATTAAAAGGTAAAAAAAAAAATTTCTGGATGAGAAAGCATTTTGTCTGGTAAAGTGATATTCTTGTGCTAAAGTCCAAGATGAAGGAAGACAAAACTAAAGATGTAAAGAAGTTTTGAATGGTTAAGTTACAGAAGGTTTGTGGAAGGTAAATCTCAAAAAATTTGTGTTCGTGATTAAAATGGCTATAATTAGCACAAAGTTATTAAATGAAGTTAATGAACTGATATGAAGCAAAGTCTGAAACATTGGTCTGCTTTTATCTATCAAGACAATTTTCTTGTATCTCTTGGATTTTATTACTTAGAGAAACTAAGTCTTAGGGTTGATACCAATTTTAAAGAATTTTAAATTATTGCTTTGTAACTTGTTAGACAAAAAATATTATTTTAGGTTGTAACAATACAGTTGAAACCATAAATACATGTGACTAGATATAAGTATACATCTGAGAACTACATCTATCTGAGCTTTGTCTAAGTGTTATGCAAGTTTATAAAATGAGTTTATCTAGGTTTACTGGTAAGATAAATAGTAACTTCTCTCTTTTATGCATAGTATCTGACATAGAAGGGTCACACCATCATTTAAAGACCTGTCATATATCTGTTAATTTTGACTAAGTCTATATTTGATCATTAATACTGTTTAATAAATGTTTAAGAGATTTAAGGCTATCCTTTAATTTTTTCTGGTACTGCTAACCCATGCAGACCTGTTGATTATTGTGACTATATCCTAGGGGTTTTAAATTGTACTTTAAAAGATAAACAGTAAAATGTAAAGCATAGGGTAGAGCACTTTACCAATATTTAGTTCTCCAAAATAAAATTACTTGTAGCAATAGCCTCAGATTTGTATAAAAATAACAAATTTGGTTGGTATTTATTCATGTCATTTGATGTTTCATAGCTGAATAAAGCAAAATGTTGTCAGTAAGTTACATATATACAATTTTGTGTTACTCTACCCACTGGAATTGGAATTTAAATGTATTTTTGGAAGGTAATATATACAGCCTGATCTGTTTAAAGGTGACATCATAATACACAAAAACATTTTGCCACATTTTCCACAAAAGGAAAGCCTTTGTTAGATTCATGTTTCAGATGTAATGAATTGTTATGTCAAGAGTCCTGCCTTACACCTTACTTCATGTTATAATGGCTCCAATATAAGCTAGACTTGAGCTTATTTAAAGTTGTGTTCCAAAGATTGATTTTTGCTGTAAAGATCACTGTGATCTCAAAATAAACAGAGTATATAATACATAACTAAGTGAAGATTTGAGATTATAAAATAGTTTTTCTTGGTTTATAGCTTTTATACAAATTGAATATATTATTGCTGTGTTCATTTCATTTTGTATTTTCTTTGTAAACTTTATAACTGTTGCCTGTTGGAGTTTGCTGAGGTACTTCTTCCACTAAAATAACTTGGGATAATAAGACATCACCTGTAAGATGGACAGTACATAATGCTGACTTCTAGTACTAACACCAACCCCAATTAAATGGAAGGGATCACCATAAAATTATAGATATTAGAGTTATGACCTGTTACTCCCACTTCAAGACTAATGAAACTGGCCTGCCTGATGTTTAAAACCAAAAACTTGGAGACTGTAGTCAAGGAATTAAAGGGTCAAGGAAAAAGCAGCCAACATTTGGCCCTTGCCCTTTAAATTTAGTCACCCAAAGAATGATGGGACCCTTCTCTGAACTCTGCAACTCCAGTGAAACTGATCTGCGGATCAGGGAGACTGTGAGGACCCTAGAAAACAGGAAGACAATCAGTGCACATCCTGGGGTTGCTGACAACAGAAATGTCCCTGATGCATCTAAGAGAAGCCACATATGGTAAGCAAGACCATGACCCATCCTGACACATGGCACTACTACAAGAGGAAAGCTAAAGGAGCCAAGAGACTTCATACACACAATCTCAGCTGATGTACACTTGTGCTAGACTAGTAAAGCGGAGGCTATAAAGGAAGGGACCTTGTATGAGAGTGACTAATAATAATGATCACAAAGGAGACCCTAGAGTGGCAAATATGTCATGAGTTAACTTGAGCCTGATCATTGCTATTGGGATTTATCCCAGAAATTCAAGAATAATTCAACACATAAAAATAGAGTACAGCTGGGCATGGAAGTGCACGCCTATAATTCCAGGAACTCTGGAGGCCCAGACAGGAGGATTCCAAGTTCGAGGCCAGCCTCAGCACTTTAGGTCCTTAGCATCTTAATGAGACCATGACTCAATTAAAAATAAAAGGAATGGTGATGAAACTCAGTGGTAAAGCATGCTGGATTAAATACCCAGTAACACCTCCCTCCAAAAAATGTCATATAGGTGGTAGTCTAAGATATTATCAACAAACCTGGAAACTGGGGAGATGGCCAAGACTGAACTCAACATTATGCAGGATCTCACTTTGGTGGGCACATGCTCCTGCAATGAATGCAAGACACATGTCAGACCATGTCTCATCAGATCATTACAAGAATTCACAATACTGGTAATCACACCCATGATTGGAGAAAAATACTTTAGACTTTATAACTCAGGCTGTGGTGGAAGTTTCAAAATAAATAAGATATTGCCACACTAAAGAGTTGAAGGTTGCTAGTACTTTACACTGAAATCTGGAACACCATTTTCCTAAACTAAGAATGGTTTCTCTCAGCTAACTACTATATGTAGAAAGGTTTTATATTATAATGTGAATTCTTATCATATACTATGTAGTTAGTTTAGAGAATAATTTTTTCACCAGTTTCTTGATCAGAGAATCTTCCTCTTCTGGACCTGTTCAGTCATGCTATTAATTATCAAACACTGAAACTTGTTAAAATGTCAATTATGTAGTGCACCACATTAAGGGGAAGGAAAAAATCAACACAATCATTTGATGCAGAAAAAGTATTTGGCAAACTAATACTTTATCATAACTGAAAAAAACACAAACTCAGTCACTCTCTCTTTCTCTCTCTCTCTCTCTCTCTCTCTCTCTCTCTCTCTCCCTTCCTCCCTCCCTCCCTCCCCCACTCTCTCTCACACACACACAAACCAAAAATTTTTTTAAAAACTTCCTCATTTTGATAAAGGGCATTTATGAAAAATTTAACATAATATTTATTAAAAGTTACAGCCACAGAAATTAGGCAAAAAAAAAAATATCCACCTCATAAAGAAACAAGAAAATCTTGCATACAGAAAAAAACTAAGCCAGATATGGCAGTGAACTCCTGTAACATTTTCGGAGGCTAAGAGGGAGGCTGAGACAGAGGACCACTAGTTGGAGGCCAGCCTGGTCAATTTAGTGAGACCACAACTGATTATAAAAATCGGCTGGGGATGTAGCTAAGTAGTAGAGTGCTTGCCTATCATGCACAGGCCCTGGGTTTTATTTGATTCCCATTATCACACCCACTCTCTCTCTCTCTCTCTCTCTCTCTCTCTCTCTCTCTCTCTCTCTCACACACACACACACACACACACACACACACACAATCCTAAAGAATTCACACAATTCAAAATAATAAAAAATAAGTTCCCTTTCCTTGTTTCTCTTGTGGAATAGTTTGAGGGCCACTTGGTATTGTCCTGGATGGTCAGTTTTCTCTCCTCTCAACTCCAGCCCTTGCCAGGAAGCCAGCCAGGTCAGGTGCTGTGATTATCACTCTTGCCACATCTTAAGGATGAGAGAAATACTGAGTGTCTTGTCCAAGGTCAAAGAGCCGGACAGTGTTGGTTCCTGAGCCTGGGTCTCAGAGAGCAATGCTCTTCCCTCCCAGGAGGCATTGGTCCCAGCCCCTCAGAGCCTCCCCCACAACCTCAGGAATATGATTCTCTGAACATGGAACAGGCTGGCAGGGCAGCCATAAAAACCAACAAAAAATGTTTCTAAGAATTTTAAAGAGTCATGGGGGTCCAGGCACTCCCAACAGGGGAGTGAGTGAGTGAGGGCTCAAGTCCAAGAGGCCTTCATGTGGGGCTCACATCCTGGGTGGGATGGGGCCTCCTGCTGCAGCACTGGGCAGATGGGAAGACAAACACAGAGTCAGTGCATGGGGCTCTTCCTCACCTCCACCCCACAGCTCACAGGCAAGTCACTGGGACCCTGGGGGCAAGACAAAGGAGAGGACTGGCACAATAAGTCACTAAAAAGGCTCTTGGGTGGCAGTGTGGGTTGCCCATCCCACTGTACACTTAATGCTCCACTCTATAGATTTCACATTTTTAAAAAAGAAAAAAAACCATTATAAATTACTAGACTAGTCTCAGTCCTCATTAACAGCTGAAGAAACTAAGGAACAGAAAGGTAAGGGACTGGCCCAAGGTCAACCAGCTAGTTAGCGATACAATCTTTTCTCTTTGTCTATTCAGGGACAACTGGGTGTGTTCTGAAGCCCTGTGACCTGGACCCTACATCTTCCAGGTCCATAATCCTGCTTCTTAAGCTCCAAGTGCTTCAGCTTCAAGGCTAATGCCACCTTAAGGGTTTCTCTAACACATGTGCAACCCACAGACACCTCTCTCCCAATGCACACTCACCACTCCTCACTTCCTAGAGAGCTTCATCCTTACCACTTCATGGGGGGCTCTGCCCACCTGAATCAAAATCAACGATTGGTCCCAGGGAGGTCTGTGGGATGGCATGGTGGGGAGAACCTGGGTGAGAGCAGGACTGCCATGGGCTCCCACTCAGTCTCCTCCTCCCCTGGAGCTACACAGCTTGCAAAATATACCTGGGGAGTGACAGGCCAAATGCATAAAAGGGATCAATACCCACCTTGGCCTGGTCTCCCTGACCACCCTCACCCTTCATCTTGGAAAACACAGAGCCCAGGGCTCCCAGCCAGCATCCAGGCTGCAGTTCCCCTCTACCTCATTTCTTGGGGCAAAAACCTAGAAAGGCAAAAAGAGGGACATTCCCAGAGGCTCTCAGGGTGCCCTAGAGAATAACCCCAAAGAAAAGGAACAGTGAATGTCAGGGCCTGGGAGCTGGGGTAGGGGACCAGGGAAGAAGACCCAGCTTCACTCCACTCCACGTGCCCTAGGGTCCACCACTTGAGCCTCTGGTTCACCAACTCACTTGGGTCCCAGGGGTGCACACAGGGTGATGTAACAGTTCTGGGCACAGCCCTGGTTGAAGGGATTGTCCTCCTGAAGGAATTGTCCCTGGAGGGAGATGGGCATGGGAAGAGGAGCTCAGAACCAGCAGGACTGGACAAGGCCATCTCTCCCAGTGACCTTCCATAAGTTGGTCAGTTAAGCCAAGGCTCAACCCAGGCCTAGAGCAAGACTCCAAGGCCATGGAAGCCCAAGCATGACCCAGAGCATCCTGCCTTCCTGGGATTCTGGGAAGTGTGTCCTCCCCCAACATATTTGAGAGCAGCTCTCCCCAGACACTGCTGACTCTGCACCCACCCCTCCTGCCTTCTCAGGGCTCCTCATCCCCTTGTGCCTCCCTGTGCAGCATCCTTGTTCTATCTCCATTGGCCACACCTGTCCTCCCACCACGTCCTTCCAGATGCCTTATAAGCTCCTCCTTGTGCTGCTTCACAACTGCTCCAAAGACAGTGTCATCACACTGCTCCCACTTTACTTTTCCACCTCTCTTTTTTTTTTTCCTAAACATGTGCCTTCACTGAATTTCACTATCTGGAAGAGAAAGGGCAGTGAGAATGCCGAGTCATATTTTCCTAGTGAAAAAATCTTGGTCCAGGAATCCTGAGCTAAAAGCCTATAGTAATCAAAGCAGTAAGGTTAACTTCAAAGGTTAACTCCTCCATTGGACCCTGGCCTCTTCTCTCCCTTATTCCACTTTCTCCTTTACCCCACTCCATGCATTCACCCATTCCTCCCCACCAGACCAGGTTGAGGCTGACCACAGCTTCAACAGCTTTAGCTAGTGAATATTCTGTCACAATAGGAAGTGGCTCAGCAGCACTTCTCTCCACCCTAAACTCTCCCATGGCCCAAGCATGAAGACTTTGATCTTCACCACTATTCTCCACTAGAAAGAAAGTAGGATTCCTCATCAGGACAGCTCTGGAATATCCTGCCATGTCCAAAAAGCAACATGAACCACTGTGCTCTATGAGTCTGCCTCCTTTAATGTGTTCACGGCACTTAAGAAACTAGTATCCAGCCAGGTGCAGTGGTGCATGCCTGTAGTCCCAGTGACTTGGGAGGCTGAGGCAGGAGGATTGCAAGTTCAAGGCCAGTCTCAGCAACTTAGCAAGGCTCTTAGCAACTTAGCGAGACCCTATCTCAAAACAAAATATACCAAGGATTGGGGATGCAGCTTCAATGGTAAAAGCACCCCTGGGTTCAATACATACTATCAGAAAAAATTAGTTAACAGCAAAATATAGAAAATGTGGAATTTCTAAATTTGGAGAAAGAATTTTTGATTAGATGTTTGATTGTACATAAGGTATATAAAAATCCTTAAAGGAATGATAATAATTTTTTAGGAACTGAGCAGTAAATTTGAATACCTTCCTCTCCCCACATGAAACCCTATCAGACATGAATAGACTCCAATAGCTCTGAAGCACCCAGACCAGCTTCTCTCTCTGGCTTCCTCCTGGGGCTCCTGCTCCAATTCTCTTCTCATAGGCTCTCAACTCCCCAGGACCAAAATCAAGTGGCATCTTCCTCTTGCTCCACCTTCTGCCCAACTTCCGGCTGCTCCTCATTCTTCCCCTTATCCCAGGGAGATCAGGGCAACAGGCTTCTCTCTATTTCTTTCTCTCCTTTCTTCTGTCTGCAAATGTTGATTCTTTTGTTTGTTGTTTCACTCATTTATTCACATTCCTTTTCTTTGTGTATTGGAGATTGAAGAACCCCGGGCCTTGTGCATGCAAGGTAAACACGCGTTCTACCACTCAGATACACCCCCAGCCAGACAAGGCATCAAGGATGCCTCACTCAAGCCAAGCAATGTGGTGCACTCCTGATATCCCAGAGACTCGGGAGACTGAGGCAGGAAGATGGCAAGTTTGAAACCAGGCTCAGAAACTTAGTAAGTTGTGTTTCAAAATAAAAAAAATAGAAGGGATGGGGATGTAGCTCTGTGCTAAAGTGTTCCTGGGCTCAAGAACCAGTAGCAAAAATAAATAAATAAATAAAGTTCAGTCCCTGCGCTGGGGTTTGAAAGCACATTGCAAACAGCACAACCACACCACTTTCAGAATGATTATGTCACTGGCACAACAAAGCTCTGAGCTCCCTGAGGAGTGGCCAGGATAGTGCAGAGAGAGGGCATCATGGGACAAGAGTAGGCAACTGAGCCCACAGCACCCAGGTACATGGAGTAGAAACCCAAAGAATTAAACAATAAGACACAAAAGAGGGCTATTTCAGCTACTTCTGGTTTTGGAGGCTGTGTCCAGTCCAGAAAGAGTAGTCTGAAGAATGTCTGCTGGCTTGGGCCATTCATGACAGTATCACTGTGACAGTTAAGGACTGGGACTGGGCTGATGTGGGCCAGGAAGTAAAGGATGGAGCTAGTGAGCGGGGTCAACTCTTTCATGGAATAAGGCAGAGAGGGTACAACAGGGGAGTGGGGGCCTTTGACATTAAGGGTGGGGCTTGCTTGGCTTTTAACACGAGGCACAACATTTGTAAATGACCATGAGCACCAATGGTAATAATACCAACAGCAGAATATAGGGCACTTTCTGGTACAAGCCACTGTTCTGAGTCTTTTGTGATCTGAAATCAGAGGCAGACTCAGTTCTAGTCTGGGGCAACCCAGAGTTTCTCATGAGGACTAGATCTCCTGAGGTCAGACTCACAGAACTCAAGGACAGATCTAAATATCCAGACTAGAGCCAGACCGTGGAGACATCACCGAATGTCACCAGCATTAGCAACCTCCCACAGTTCCCTAAATGCATCAGGCACTCTAGACCTCTGTGCTTCTAACTATATATCCTTCTTCCCCTCCTGACCCTCTCTCTCCACTTCCCTGCCTCTGCACTATATCACTGTCTGTTTTCCCTTCTTTCTCTTTGTAAGAAACCTGACAGCCTGCATGGAGACTCACAGAAAGGCAAAGAACAAGCACTGACATTCAGCAGCAATACCTCCTTGAAAGTAGCAAAAAGACTGGGGATAATCCAAGCATGTCCAACTGGATGTTGGGTGGGGGGCTTCAAGTCATTGGAGAATGCTGTGAGTAGGCCTCCTCTTCTGAGCAAAATGAAGCTACCAGTGACTTCTTTTGAGTTGACACCCAGAGTGCCATGGCAACAGCAGGGAAGGAAAGAATATCAAGTGTGACATCACAGAGATTCCAGAATGGGGGCTCTGTCTGCTTCCAGTGACTTCTGAGAGCAACCTTCCCCACCCCCACATACACACATGTTGTGAACAGGGACATCCTGCTCTTATGATGTTGGCTTTGTTGGAGCTTGTGATGGTGTGATGTGGTTTGTCCCCAGAGGTTTATAGGCCGGAGGCTTGGCCCTCGGTGTGGCAATGTGGAGGTGATAGGACCTAAGAGGTGGGGCCTAGTGTGAGGTAATTTGGTCACTAGGGATGTTGCCCTCCAAACAGAGTAATGTGCTTCTCGGTGTCCCTCAGAGATGCTGGCTTAGAACTTGTGATCCTCCTGCCTCAGTCTTCTAAGCCACTGGGATTGCAGGCATGTGCCACCATGTCTGGCCATGTAAATTAAATTGATTAAAAATAGATCAGGTCTGATGGCACTGAGATGGGGGCAAAAGGTCAGTGCAGATAATGAATGATTGTGTCAGGATGAAGGTGGCTGATTCAAAAGGAAATAGCACATCCTCCTCCTCCCACTTTTTGCCAAGGGTTGCCTGCCTCCAGGGACTTGTTCCTTCCGGCAAGGAGTTGTTAATGAGTGCCTTCTGGGTACCTCCCTCCCTGCCTTTCTGGGAAAATATGGAAAATAGGGAGAGATAGTAAGATGGCTCCCTTCCAGCCTTTTGGCAGGATAGGAGGAAAGGGGGACATGAGAAGAAAGGAAACCTGAAATCTATAAAAGGTGTAGGACATCCTCACTCTCTCCGGCACTAGCTCTGATCTCTAGCTCTGGACCCCCTCCTCTCTAGAGTGTTACAGGGTATGACTTTATGGTTTGAATACGTGTGCTCTGCCACTCTCCTACCTAATCTCTCCCTCTCCTTAATCTCAGGGAAACAGGATTACCTTTCTCCCCCATTTTTTGACATATTTTTTTCTGTCTGTGAGTACACATCCACCATGGGAAAGAAGTAATACAGACTTTGGGGATGGTACCAGAAGATCTCAGAAGTGTGTATCTTCCAAGTTAACAAGTGAATTACAACTCCCACAGAGAACATGTGGAATATGGCCTTTGTATGACTTCTTTTAAAGCCCCTGTTCCTGCTGATAGGCAGAATCACAGCCTCAGGGACAGGAGTCCCCTGTGTTTCTCCTTCACTAGCACAGCAGTAAACCTTCTTTTTCCTTTTTCTCAAATAAAAAAATAAATAAATAATAGCATTATCTACTTCAAAAGATAACATATCTTTATCAAATAAAACAACCCTATAAAACATTTGAGAGTATTTTGTGTAGTACATACTTAATTTAGCTCTCATATCACTATTAGTTGTATTGTCATTGCAATCAGATCAAAATATATGAAAAGAAATCAGAATATTCTCCAGTAAATCCATAGCAGCACATTGTTCATTAATAATGCTAACCAGAATATTTTGGCATAACTGGGATAAGAATGGGATTTTTCATTGTTAAAGCTTTGGCTTTTGTTCAAAATCTGATTCATCTTGATGGTGGCATTTCTTGGTGAAAGATAACACTTTCAGTCCTTCAAAGTATTCATCACAAGCCTACCTGTCAAGTTTTGATGATGGGTGGAAAATGATATAGACAGTAGGGAACACTCTTATTAATGTCCCCTGAATGTGGCATTTAAATTTTTATATATTAACTGTAAAACTGAAATACTTCTGCCAACTAACAGAGCCAAGGTGGTATTCATGAAGTCTACAAATGAAGCCAATCAGAATAAAGTCACCCATCTAAAATGGACCAAAGAGTTTTATGTCAGCTCATCTCAGCTACAGGCTGTCATTAAGCTGTGTGACTACTTTGAAGGGATTCAGACAAAATTTTGAGAAAATCATCAACCAAGAGGCATCAGACACCTGCCTCTGATAACTTTTGATACTGTAATTTCCAAAGAAAATAATTTTCAAATTTACCTAAAGCCTTGGGTCTCCTCAATCTTAGATATAAGTTCCTTTCTTACTTATTGCAGTAATTTCATTTTGCCTTTTATACTTTGAATACTAAGGAAATTCTTCCATATTACTAATTTTTGGAAGGAAGTTTTATGCATTATCTATACAAAGCACCTTAGGTTATTATCAAAAGGAATGCTGACATACACGGTTATTTTATTAATATATTGCTTTTATCTTAATAATTTATATTCACATCACATTTGAAATGCATTATTAGCCAAGCAAAATGGCATATCAGTAAATCAAACCCAGGCCAAAACCTGATATCAGAATGCTAATATAGAGCACATCTCCAGGTATGAAGAGAGAGCTAGAGACTGATTTACCACATTTAAAGACTTAAAATGAAAACTATTTCAACACAGTTGGACAAGATGTAGTTAAGCATATGGATAGATATTTTTAAAATTATTATCTCCAAATCTAAAAATGCAAATATACATATATATATATATATACATATACAAATATATATGACCGTATACTTATTAAATATAATTATTTAGATGGCCTTAATAAAACATAAATAGAAAAGCTGTAGAGTTAATTCGTCTGTCTTAAAAAACAATATAGTCCCTTTCTCCATAGGAGCATTTTCTAAACTAGATAGGCTTCAAGTAATCAATTAATGCCCATAAATTTGGTGTGTGTAAGTTTCTTATTAGAATCTCCATTGCTTTACTTCAATTCTCAATGAATTATGTCCTTCCAAAATATTCGAATCATGAGATTATTTCAATAAATAATTGCTGATACTTATTTAAATAAATTTTGAAAAAAAGTCCATCAAATGATCTGAACACAGTTGGACAAGATGTAGTTAAGCATATGGATATGAACAGTGTTAAAATAATTTAATTTGAAAAATACTAACAGTATACAAAGAAATGGCCTACACATCCATCAGTATATAGATCACCGATGTTTGCTCTCCTACCAATCCCATCTCATACAGGGAACTACTTCAGCAGTTTGAGGCCTGTCTTTGTAGATGCTTTCCTAAGTCTACACAGGCATAGTTGTGGATGTGGATGTGTGTGTGTCGGGGGGTATATTTATATGTAAAGGGAAACTGAGCTATTTGTATGAAACTTTTAAAATTTGTTTTGATTAAAAATACATTGTGGACATATTTTGAGGCTCTTCTTAGTCCTTTTACTAAGAAGCAGACTGGGTACACTGAAAAGAAAAAAGGTTTATCTTGGCCAACAAGGCTGAAGGATCCCATTCTAGTGATGGCTTTCTTGCTGGCAGGTATTAGAATATCATACCCAAGGTAACACAGAGTGCACCATGGCAAGAGACAGAGAGCTCTGAAGACCTAGCCAAAGTGACTCTTATAGCAAACTCAATCCCAAGAAAATCCACCAATTCATTCATCCATTTACCTGTTAATCACATTAATGGATTAATCTATTCATGAAGGCAGAGCCCTAGTCATCTGTGCAAGGTCCCACAAGGTCTTACCTGTTATTATTTTATTATAGGATTAAGATACAAAATAACTTTTGGAAGAGACAAACCATATCCAAACCATAGCACATGTGTTTCTACTTTATTGGTGGTATAGCACTGCTCACCTCCTGCTATATAATTTATTGTGTTTACTATCTACTTTGATAAGAATATTTTTTGTTTTCTATCAAATATAAGTGCTCAGGAAAATTCCTACCTATAGAAGGTTCTTGATAAATATTTTTGACTGCATTAAATTCTGACTAATATAGACCCTTAATTGATTTTATTACATCTTTATTAGTGAGCATTGTTTGCTTTTGTTTATTACAATTAAGAGAAATATTTCAAGATTCTCCTTATAGATATGTCATGACTTGCTGAGGCAGTTATTACTTAAATGTCTAGAAGGTATTTTCTAAATTATAATTATAGGCTCTTTAAATATTTATTTTAATAAAAAATTATATATATATATATAAACTGAATTACTCCACAAAACAAAATGTTATACAAATGTTATACAAAGAAGATTAAGCTTGACTTAGATGACAAAAATAGGAAGTCTCAGTCTTCACTACAATTCCCTATAGAGAGTTTGACGAGTTCCTAGTTATCCACAGACAAGAAAATGTTTGTGAAAAACTCCATACCTGGGAAGAAGCTTGAGACACCCACATGGTACGTAGAACTGAATTAAAGTTACCTTAGAAGGATAAAAGGAATGGTCTCACTTCTACTATTCCACCCCTCTACCTCCTTCCAAGCCAGTACACCACATAGAGGGGTGCTCTGAGCCCATTTCTATAGAAGGACAAGAGAACCGGAGGCACATATCCAGACTTCCTAGCTTTCTGAGTTGCTGCTCAGGAAGGCTGCTCTAGTCTTATCTCACAGGGTACACAGGGAGAACAGCATGGCTAGCCTGCCCAGGATCAGGTTAAAACAAGAAGACAGTGTTCACAGTGACTAGTAGGCAGATCTTGGTCATAGCTCTGGATTTCTGGCAGTTGTGGCACCCAATAGGAGAATAAACTGTAGAGCCTATCCATAATGGTGAGCTGATCACCCTCAGAGGCACAATGGGACATTCAGTCTAACTTTAGTCCTGAAGGCTAGTCTCCATCCCCCAGCCTCAGAGCCAACCCCCAGGCTCTGCGGAGGAAGAGAGATGCCTGTACATTTTGGAGAAGGGTAGGGCCTGTGTTTATTTAATATGGGAGGATAGATAACAGCTCAACTCAGCAGAAGTTCAACTTGCAGTAGTTCCCAGGCAGAAAGATATCCATCTCGGTGCAAATCTGAAGAAATAGGGCTATTCTACTCAAGAGTCTAAAGAATAACTCAACTTAACAAAAATAACAAAGACAGGAAGGGAGGCAGTCCTCAATTCTACATTTCAACAGAGCATAGTTTCTTGTCTTGTGTGTTGCAAGCAGGGAGTCATATAATATCAGAGCTTATCCGACAGATTTGCCTAAATTCAGAGCCCAAAT